GGCGTTCTGGCCCCGGGTCCCAGTCCCCTTGGCACATCCATTTCCAATCCATGCCTGGGGCAGTTATGCTGTCCGTGAAAATGTTGGTCGCCCAACTCTCCCCGGACAGTCCGCGGCGGAAATTGGCTTCAGAACTGGTGTGGGCTTCATTTGAAAGAAACGATTCCCTCCCGCCCTCCTCTCGCCCCCAGCAGAGCAAGTGCCCCGGGCTGGGGGGGGGGGGCGGAGAGGGGGAGAGGCAGGCCTGCGTGGGTTCCTGGGAGCCATTGAAGGCTTTCGACGCTGGCAATTCCCGTGGAGTTTTTCTTGTGCGTACGAGAGTGGAGGGAAAAAGGCGGCACAACTTCCCCGTGTTCTCTAAGAGGCAGCGCACCGCCGGGAGGGCCTCTGCGCCTGGGCGACCGGACTTGAAATCCAGGAGGCCTGGTGATGGTTGCTGGGCCCTCAGAGGTGTGGGTGGCCCCGCTGAGGGCCGGCGTTCCACTCCCGGCACCCGGTACCCTACGCCGGGGCAGTCGGGCCTAGGCCGTCCTGCGCGGTCATTGGGAAAGGAGGGCTGGCCACAGTCAAGAGCTAGCACAGTAGAAACCTCCGTGTCCAGAGAGAGAAATCAAGAAATGTTGCCATTAAAAGTGCAGGCCATAAAAGGAGAAGAAAGGCCTGACAAGAGATAGAGAGAAAAGGGGAGAACATGAAAATAAGCAAAAACATGCATGTTTAAGCCCAGCGCATAAAGATCCGTTGATTTTTAAAATAACAAATCTCAGTGTGATTATGAAAGACAGGCGACCTTTGACTAAATGACATATGAAAAAAATTGGGGGTGGGGAGGAGGGGGAAAAAGTCTTAGATTCCCGACAGAAACGTCAGTGAGAAGCAAGATGAGGGATAAAAATGTCCCCCAATGTGAACTTTATGCTTTGAGCACTGGGGCAAACTATCTGTATAAAAATGCATTTTTGATCAAATTATTTAAAAAAACACGTAATTAAAACCAATTCTTTTCTTGAGTGTGATTTTGTTTTAAAAAATGTTTGGAAATAAACCACTTGAGGAATATAAAACGAAACCAAACAAAACTTTTGAATCATAATTTATTTACTGTTTTAAAAACTAGAAAGTCTTAGCAAAAGATAAAAATGTTATTTCAAATTTCTAATTGTCAAAATTTAACATGGTGAAAATAATTGCTTACTTCAGTTGAAATAAGGTCAATACAAAAAATTGTGCAGTAAAAAGCTTATGTAATTTGAAACAGAAAAGGCCTTTATTAGGGACAAAACTCAAGGGGGGGAAAAACATACCACGCATATATCACAAAACTTTCTAGAATTCTCCTTTTTTAAATCAGAAGAAATTTGTAAAATGTGTTAGTAAACACAAATCTGCAAATATTAAAAATATATTTCTGGTAATAACTCATAGTTTCCGTATTTTCTTTCATGCTAAACGCACCTTTATACATTTTGAGTTCTTTTGTCCAAAATGATAGTTTTGGCCACTACCAAAAATGGACAAGAAGAAACTCTAATAATGAGAAAATCAATGAATTTAAAAGGGTGCAGAGTCTGAAAACAAACTAGCCACCACGTACATTTAATTGTACTTAATTGTATACTTTATTTAAGTCACCCTTCTCAGGGGTTTAATAATTTAGAATCAATAGTTCCCTTCAAAACATAATAAAATATTTACACTTTATAAAATATTAACTCATTAACAATACCGCTGTGTTGTTTATAAGAGTGTGACTGAAGTCCCATAATTATGCTGTTGACATAAGCATGTGAGGTTAGCGAAGTGATCTCCTTCGCAAAATGTAAATGAAGATCTTCAGACAGTGGTGTTTATAAAATAGCTCATTAATGACTTAAGATTGAATCGCTCCAACCATTCGCATCATCAGATATAATAATAGTGACGAATCAGACAGGAAAGATCCTGGCTAAACCATTTGCATTTTTTTTTTCCAGAAGTACTGAAGTCCTAATATCACCATTTCTTCTAAGTTCCTGGACACTGATCCGCAGGAGGATTCTGCAGTTCAACACCAAGGTAAGGAAAGAAACAGCATTATTATCGTTGTTAAGATATTTATAAGAATTGCGCCTCTCCCCATTTTGAAAACGGGCTCAAACTTTGACAGTGGTAGTTGCTTTGTGCAAAACCCCCTTCCCAATCCGACGTGAAAGCACAGATTAAAAAAAAAAAAAAGTTTGTTGATCAAACTTACAGTTTGTTTCTTTGCAGCCAAAAACCTTTTAGCTATACCACCACGAGTTGGTTTACTTGAGCCACTTTGTTCTCACAGACTTCGATTTGTGCATTTTCTCTAACCCGTTCGTTCTGGGAAGTGGGGGAGATGGGGTTTGGGGAACAAAAAAACAGGGAAAAGAAAATGCTGCCTAAAACTCCCAGGGTGGCTCCCCGAAGGTCTACTCTCAAGCTCGCTTCCTTTCTCCCGCCGGGCTCCGACCGCTTCCCGGGTTGCCTCGGGCTCCTTTGGAACTTGGTGGGCGGCGCCTGGGTGCGGGGTTCTCCGGGATCTGGGCGTTGAGACTTAGGCCGGGGCAGGTTTGGTTTCTGGGACCCTTTCTCTTCCAGAGGCTCCCTCGCCTCCCAGGCCTCCGCTCTGAGGGGACGGCTGCGCGCACGCCGCCCACCGGCTAGGTGCGGCGAGTAGACGGCGGCCTACCTCCGGACACCCTAGGCTGACGCGGCTTCCCGCTGTCTGTGCACCGGCCCAAGAATTCCAGAATTACCCCCGGAGCGCGTTTCCCAAAACCGAATTTAGTTTGGCCCTCTGGCGCCGCCGTACAGCCGATACTTCTTAAGGGGGACCGGCGGCTCAGGCAGCGAGATGGTGCGGAGTTCTCCGCGTCCAGGGGTTTAGGAAGGAGACACAAGGTGCGCGGTAGGGACTGGAGGTGCCGCCAGGAGAGGGGCTTCACCGGCCTCAAGGCGGGCGGGGACGCGTCCTCATTTTCCCGCCCAAGGTCGGCACAGCGAGTGTAAGCCGGCGCCCCGGGCGTCTTGCGGGGGCCGCGGCCCCTGCCCACGTGCTTTTCTTTAAGGAGGTCCCGCGCCGAAGCGGGACCTCAGGGACAAAAGCGTGGCCGGAGCTCGGCCTGCTCCGCTAGTGCCTGCGCCACCTTAAATGAGCACCGCGGCTGGAGTCGGGCTGCGGGCGGCCGCGGCCGCGGGAGTCGGCAAAAGTTTGTGGCTCAGTTACACCTTCGCGGGACCTGCTGTGGACGCCCCCGCGCGGCCTCCTCCGGGACGAGGAGACCCGGTCCTCATCGCACGCTCCGCCCGTACTCGAAACCTAGTGCCTGAGCCGCTTGGGTCCCAGGAGTCCCCGACCCGCAGCTGGAGGACAGGCAGCCCCACCGCCCGCACAGCCTCCGCGTCACGGCCTCCAGGCGGCCCGGGCTGAGCTGCTCGAGATGTCGCCGGCGCCGCGAGCGCTCCAGGGACGTCATCCAGGGATGCCCCCCGCCCTGCGCCCCCCACGCAGCCCCCTCTCCTGTCCCACCCGCAGCCCGGCGGGCCGTGCCGGTACTCCTGCCACTCAGGACACCCGGGCTATTGTTCTGGACCCACGGCCGCGCCGGCTCTGAGGGAGAAGCGGCCTTCGCCGCGCGTCCTGCGGCGCGGCGGGCCCGGACGGCCGGCTCCGCGCGAAGGGGGAGCTCAGAGGCTTCGGGAAAAGTTGCTCGGAGGGGCGGAGGCGGTGGGTGGTGGGCGGAGGCGGTGGGTGGGGGAGGCGATAGCCCTCCTATCTCCAAAGTCGAAAGTACTCCGCGCAGTTAGCAGAACCCGGAGCCGAGGCATCCGCGGTCGCCGACTGCGCGTCGGTCTGCGCCTCCGCCGGGAAACGAGGCAACCAGCGCCTGCCTTGTCGCCGCCGCCTCCGCGCCGGGACGAGTGCGCCTCGGGGCTGGGCGAGGCGGCCGCGCCCAGGACCCGCCGCGAGGAGGAGGACCGGACTCGAGCCCCGGCGCCCGCCTGCACCCGGGCGCACCCACCCGCCGGCCTCGGCCACCGTCTCGCGCGGCACTCGCTTCTCTGCCATCGGTTCTCTGCCGCCCGACGCGCGCGGTCCTCGCCACACCGCTCTGCTACAGCCGACTCTCCCCTTCCTCCTCCGCCCTCCTCCCTGCCTCCCACCCGCCCCTCGCCAGTCCCTCTGCCTCCTCCTCAGCCCCGCCGCTGTTTGGGTCGCCGGGCTCACAGCGATTGATTGATTGATGTTTAATTTCCTGCCAGGCGGGGCCCCCCTCCCCCCGCAACCTCCCCAGCCCTCCTCCCCGCCCCCCACTCTTCTCCTTCATCGCGGTGGACCAGTCTGGCTTGGGTTTAGATCTTTCCCCCCCAACCCCCATCCCGAAATAACCCAGAGACTTCCCCTACCCCCACCCCAAATTATTATTTTGAAGGCGCTAGATCTGGGGACGGAAAGGGGGAGGGGGAGAAATCGGAAACCGAGGACAACCCAAAAGGACTCACTTTGCCTGATGACTCAACGCAACTAATAATCATCTCCCTCTCAGTGTATCTCTCTGCGGCTTGTCAGTGAGTCCGGCTCCGGCTGCTGGCGGCGGCGGCCGAGAGGGGAGAGGCTGGAGGTGACAGCTTGGGCAGCCGCCGCGTTTCCTCCCGCGCGCGGTCTCGGGTCCCTGCGCCTTCTCGGCTCTCGGTGACACCGGCCCTAAGGCTCCGGCCGCGCCTCCTCGCGAACTAGCAGACCCGCGAAGCGGCAGCACCGGCCCGCCTCCGCCTCCTCCCAGTCCTCAGCCCTTTCTCTCCAGAACGGGTCTCCTTCCCGAAGGTGTGAAAAGGCTTTTTCAGTCTCCTTCTCTCTTTTCCCCTCCTCCGCCGTCTCCTCCCCCGCTCGCTCGGGTGCCCCTTTGGAGGAACCCTCCTTTCCCTCTCCTCCTCCTCCTCCCCCTACCCCCCCCCCCCCCCCCCCCCCCCCCCCCATCATCATCATCATAACAACCATCTCTGCACTAGAAGACATCCTGACCCAGGACCTTAAACGTTAGGACCTGGGAAAGAGGAAAAGGGGAAGGAGTAAAGAGGAAAGAAGACCAGGAGAACACCGCAAGGCAAAGCACCAGAAACTTTCCACCCTGGATTCTCTACTTTTGCTCCATGGACAGAGCCTCAGCCAGCCAAGTTACAGACAGACCGTGAGCAGTAAGTACGCAGGGCGAGGACTCCCACGCCAAGCTCGGGAGTTCGGGGAAGCCCCGGGTCCGGCTAAGTTCCCTCCCGGCAGCTCTCGCCCTCTCGGACAGCGCGGCCGAGGGAGTGCGGGCGGAATTTTCGGCCGCAGCCCTCCCGCTCGGTCCGTGCATCTCTCGCGTCTCTCCTCTCACCTCCCCTCTGCCACCCCCACCTCGTCTCCTCGACACGCGGCTCCTCTCCTGGCGAGAGCGCCCGCGAGGATTCCTAGCGCACTTTGCAGTGCAGGGTTCCTGCTTCTCGGGGATGGCAGTGGCAATGCGAGTGCCGTCTCATCAGGTGTTAACTCCTCTTCCGCCGCCCCCCAAAAATCCAGGGGTGCCGAGACCCGCGGGTTCCTGGAGGAGCGCGCTGCCAGCCAAGAGACCCAGAGGAAAACTTTTTGGAGAAATTTTTAAATTGGGGTTCATCGGCTGCTCCTTGACCTAATAATTTAAATGCTTTTTGCTTCTGTGTTTTATGCTGAAGAGCTTTTTACAAATCACTTGAGATCGGAAGAACAGGAGGACGTTCCAAAGTAATAACGATTGTAGCCCCCGCCATTGCGGCGAAGGTGATTACGAGAGTATTCCGGTGAATACCTCAAAACGTTTTTGGACGCTCATTAGTGCGGCATTGGGGTTGGTTTTGTGCAAAGTGTGTTTGTGTCTCAAGACTTGCTCGGTAGCGGTAAAAGCGGGGATTCAAGGAGTCCATATGCCAGGCCTTTGGCTCCTGCCCCGCCACTCACAGTACATTCCTCATGTGGTTAATTCGGTTTCTCACGGACTTGGGTACGTCCCCCACTCCCTCCTCAAGTGGGTGACATGTCTTTTTATGAAGTTCACTTCTTCCGCAACCCTGACCCCCACACGGCGAGGCTGTCTCCTCCGAGATCGGCTTATGCCAACCCTGTCCCAATGAATGGGCCACTTCTGGGCGCCCCTGGGCGCTGGCCTGCTGGCCGTCGCCGAGTGCTGACTCCTGGAGAAGGACTGGGCAGTGTCGCAGCTCCTCGAGCTTCCTTGGGGCCGCCCAGTGTAAGGTGGGGACCCGCTTCCCGGCTCGGGCCCCTCAGGCAGCGTGGGAGGAAGTCTGTGTGGCTGTGGTGCAGCGCTCTGCCACTGGCCTGAACGTCTATCACGTGTGTGAGCGGTTTTCCCTCTTTTTTCTCCCTCCCCCTTCCCTACCCCCCGCCCCCTCCCTAGGTCCCTGCGCGTTTTATTGCGACCTGCCGGTGGGAACTTTGTCTCCGAGTCGGAGCAGCATGGAGCGGCGGAGCGAGAGCCCGTGTCTGCGGGACAGCCCCGACCGGCGGAGCGGCAGCCCCGACGTCAAGGGGCCTCCCCCGGTGAAGGTGGCCCGGCTGGAGCAGAACGGCAGCCCCATGGGAGCCCGCGGGAGGCCCAACGGCGCCGTGGCCAAGGCCGTGGGAGGTAACAGCCCGGAGCGGGGAGGCGCGCGCAGCCCCGCGGCCCGGCGATAATGGCCCGGGTGTCAGGGTTCAGGTTGATTAGGCGCTGTCGCGGTGTAGGATTACAGGAAGTGAATTCCAGGTTGCCAAATAATGCCCCCGTCGCCTCTCATCTGCAACTGGTAGCTTCATCTAGAGTTAAAACAAGAAAGTGGTTTACCCAGAGGGTGGCATTTTTTGGGCACTTTGCCACTGTGTGCTGAGGTGTTGGCAGGTTTATGTCACAGCCAGCTAACTGTTTCTAGATTTTCCTAGAGAGCTTTTTAGTGATTTAACTCTTTTGCTTTGCCTCAGAGTGTCTGTTGTAGAGATGAAGTTTAGGTGCGATCGCTTTTGTGGACTAGTTTCTAATGCACGGGAGCAAGAGTGTTGGTGTTACTTTGTCGTTAGGACAGTGCTTCGAGACAAATTAGTAACAACTGGGAATATTTCCTGCCACATTGCAAGTGGGAAATAAGGAATCATTATGAATCTGTCAGGCCCTTAGAGGTTTTAAGGTCACCGTTTTCTATGAATTTTAAAGTCATATGCGTTTGTAACTTTGTTACATGTGTGTCATAGCACAACAGGTAAAAATAGCAAAGTGGTCTTAATGGCTACATGCTGGTTTACCTTCCCAAGAATTTAATATTATTTAAAGAAAAGCTTTTGTAGATTTTACTATTTAAACACCACTCCCTTTTAAAGTGATTAGGAAAAAATTTTACAAAATAAAGATGCATATTGTAAACATTATTAAAATATTTTGAGGCTTATGCCATTTGCTTGGTTGTTTTCTACATATAAAATGCACAATTCTACATGGCATGCAGTTTTTTGTGTTTGAGATCAAACATTAGTTTAAATCTTTTTTTACTTTTAGAGTAAAGTAAATTTTTACTCTAATATTACTAATAAATAGAGTAAATATTTACTCTAATATTTTTACCCCCTAATATTTTCAGCACTAGCTAATTTAACATAATTCTTTGTATTGGCCTGCCTGAAATGATGCAAAACCATGGCAAAACTTAATGATAAGCTCCAACCCCATGTTCTAAATAGCCATAGTATGTATTTCAAAGTACAGACTTAAGTCTAAATGTCTGTGCCCTTTTAAAGAGTTAAAACAGACGTTTTATAAAATAACATGTTTCTATTTTTACTTGGTCTGCTATTATTATTTCTTCATGGTCGACATTCAGAATGGTTTGCCTTAGTTCCTTATCTTACTCCTCTCCCTCCAGAAGTACTCATTCTCACAATTTTTAAAGCTTTAAAAAGTTATTTGGCTATACATTGTGGCTTACATACCTTTTAAGATATTACGGACTTAAAGATAGACTTTAATGAAGCAAAAGAAAACTTGATAGTGCAACCCACTTTCTAAAAGTGGTATTGTGTGTTATCTTGACAGCAGAACAATAACTTCAGACTTCTTGTAACATCTTTAAGTGTCTGCATATATGAAAGAGAAATATATAGTAAATATGATAGAAGCAAGTGTAAGGTGGTATAAGCACTGATACTATTTGATTGAAAAACTGGGAAATCTTTGGAGGAGATGTGTTCTCGAAGTGGCCTTATGCGCATAGAAAAAAACTTGTACTTGAAATTTTGGTTTCTTTCTGAAGACCTACTAAAATCCACTAAATTACATTTCAGAATGTAATTGTTAACAACTATGATTTCTTAAAACAAGTGTTGTTTTTTTTTTGTTTTTTCCCTATAGCATATCAATTTCGTTGACCAGGGATACCTTTTCCGTAAAATAGTGGTTGCGTTTCTTATTTTCTGAGACTATGATTTACATTTGACCACTTATTATAAATTTGATATAAAGCAAAATTAAGTCTTCAGGAAGAATAATGGGTTTGTTTCAACAAGCTGCTTTAGTCATTTTTTCTGAACTTTAATTTAGTAATATCAAAGGTCTTATTAGTTGCTTTCCAAACTGAAAATAGATGTCATTAGTTTGTCTCAATAAGTACTATGTATAATACTTAATAATAAAGTGGTTAAAAGAGTTTACATGTGGTGGGTTTTAAAATATTTTTTTAAAGGAAGATTTTGGTCTATATAGCACAATAGATTATTTGGAATGATTTTAATTTAGAAAACTTTATAACAACTTAGTGTTTGAAGTTTTTCATTGAATGTTAATATTGGTTTTGGGGTTTAAGTTTATATAGTTTCCTAATGTACCTTGAGATGGAAATAATTCCATTTCTTTATAACTTTTAATAATGTGTATAGATTAGAGAAAAGCAAAGCCTTTTGCAAAATACACTTTTTAAATTTTAAAATAATGTTTAAAATACATTTCTAGTTAGCAGTTCTTTGTAATTGAAAGATTTTTTTTGGAACATAGAGTAAATATAAAATAGATTATATTTCTCTCCCCTCCTTTCTTTCTTTAAATTTTCTTTATAAAGCAATATAATAAGCATAGACAACTACAGAACATTTATAACTATCATTTATTGCCATTTTCAGATATATTATAATCTTGTCAGTGTTGTAAAGATGGTTATAATAATTTATGTTTTAAAAAATAGAGCTCGAAATTTGGGAGGGTGTATTCGTTAATCTTTAGTGATGCTTTTTCTTAAAAGCTTTCCCCCTAAAAATAGGGGAGATCATTAAGTTAATTGGTTGCCCAATAACATGGCAATTTATCTTACTATTTTTGATAAGCAGTGAGGTGAATAAATGTTTCTAAATACATTGGTTGCAATAGTAAATTCTGTTTCCATTATTTCACATTTTTAGAGAGACAGTTTGGTATGTTTTTGTTGAGAATGTGTTTGTTAAGAAAAAAAAGAAATTATTTTAGTGTCTGGATTTAACTAGTTGAGATGGTAGATACACTATCACAGTCTTCAAGGTTGCGTTTTAATAGGGGACTTAAAAGTTAGTGTGTTGTTTATAATGTGGTTAGCTTTAGAAGACAATTAGAAAGTAGATCAGTTTTGCTTTGTCTTTACAACACTTTTCTCGGATGTTTTTGTTCTTATCTAAGTAGTGTGTTTTAAAGCAGGTGTGTAATAAAATAAGTGCTCAGATGTGTATGACAGTCAGCTTTTATAGAAGGTCCCCAGGAAAAAAAAAAGGCTAATATCTCTTTAAAAAACATATGAAGGCTGGGAGAGAGTTTAGAGCAAGCAAGAGCACCGTGGTGTTGACAGCTTTATATCCCTGCTGGGTAACATTCACTTACTAGAATTGGCGTCCCCTCTCAGCTAGTAATTCACTCCATAAGGATTTTGAGAAAGGATGATTAATGGTGGGGAAATTTATATTTGTGAAATTGTTGATTAAAACTTACAGATCTATTTGAAGATTTAGAAAAAGAGAAGATTATTAAGGATGACGAAAATAAGAATCAGATGATCCCTTTTACCACCATTAACAGAAGTACCTAAAATGTTCTGCTGTGTGTGATGCTACAGCCACAAAACGTATACCCTAAAATGAAAGTAATGCCAGTCAAGTTTCCAGAGGAAGCAAGGCATTCTGCTTTCCTCCTGGACTGCTGAAAGGCTCTGGCCAGTTATGCTTTAACAGCAATAAATTATTGTGCTTCATTCATTGTTAACACAAGCATTTTCATTTTTAAATGTTTGGCTTAAAGAAGAACTTTCAGACAGCTTTATTTAAACTGAATGAACAGCGCTTGAGTATACCAGATGGTGTATTTGCTGATGGGAGGCATTAAACATCAGAAATCTTTTTGATATTTTTCATTTTCCTCTGAATTTTGATAATTTTTTGGTGTTAAATGTTCTATATTTTAGGAGAAAATGTTTGAAAACTGGGAATATCTTTTAGAGATATTTGCTGTTTTTGAAAAAAGTTTGCTTTTTTTTTTTTTAAAGAATTTGTTTTTAAAATAATGATTCAATTTTGTTGAGAAATTGCCTGTTAAAGTTATCTTATAAACTAGTTGACCCAAAGTAGGCCTATTCTTCTTGCTAATAGGCAGCCCTTTGAAGAACATAACTGTCTTGTTAGAAGGGGAAAAAAAATCATTATGCAATACACACTGATGTATTCAAATAGGGAAGCAAATGTGATCACGATTGTTGGGCAGGGCCTCATTTAGAGCTGAACATTGTCTACAACAACAGTTAGTTTAATTGTCTACATGTGGAACATTTCCTTTTAGATTAAAAGAAATGCAGTTCAGGTCAGGTGCAGTCACCATATTAGCAGTTGTAGGGAGACATTTTACTTTTTGAAAGGAGTGCAGATATGAAAGAGTAATCATATTGACATATTAAAATGTATAAAATGCTTGGAAATTTAGAAACATATTGTCAACCTGGGTAAAATGACAAAAACTCATTAAATTCATTTTAGCCAAGGATGAACCCCACCATACTTATAGGGAGGACTCAATGTTATTATTTCAAAAGAGAAAAGTTTGTGTTTCTCTTTTACATTCTTTCTTTCTTTCTTTTTTTTAAGGGTTTAAGATCTTTTAAATAGAATGAACTTAGGCTTTGGGGTCATCCAACAATCTAGCATGTCCTCTGTAGTTTTGCTGAGGTAGAAAAATAGCCCTTCTCTAAAGTGTTTTTTAGTCCTTGGCCTGTTATTAAAATAAAGATATACTTGGTTAAAAAAAATATATGCAATGGAACATACACATTAAACAGAACATAGGGTATCCGCCCCTCAAAGTCCTGAGCATAATTTGATGTTTCAAGTAATTTTGGAAGCCTTGTGTTCCATCAACAGAAACCCACTGACCATTATATATTCAAGATCATCTGCAGTGAAATGTGTGTGTATGTGTGTTGGAATACATAGATGTCCCTTCAGGCATCTGTTTTTTAACCCCTGTAGAAAATAAGCAATATAATCCTTTCCCAGGGGGTTGTGACTAGTACAATCAGTCTGTATATCTTAGATATCTTGTATATATACGTATTATTATATTTATGTATATATAAACAGACTTATTGTCATTTTTTAAAG